ATATGTTAAAAAATATGTTAAGCCAGCCCGGCTTGCTGAAAAAAGAAAGTTGTAAGGGCATGGCGGAAGGCACCAAGGTCTTGGATTCTCCTTATCTCTGGGAGCAACTGATTCCAGAGGGTAGGTGCCCCCACAGAGAAGGCTCTCCCCCTGGGGGTCACCAGCCTACATTGTTTGGCTGATGGCACCCCGAGGAGGCCCTCTCTGTGGGAGCGCACAGGTTTGTGGGAGGTCATCGGTAGCAGCAGGCGGTCTCGAAGATAACTATGCCATGGAGCGCTTTAAAGGTGGTAACCAACACCTTGAAGCGCACCCGGAAGACCACTGGGAGCCAGTGCAGCTCATGCAGGAGTGGTGTTATGTGGGAGCGCCAGGCGGCTCCCATGATTACCTGCGTGGCTGCATTCTGGACCAGTTAGAGCCTCCGGGTGCTCCTCAAGGGGAGCCCCATGTAGAGAGTGTTGCAGTAGTCCAGGCGCGAGGTAACGAGGGCGTGGGTGACTGTGCACAGGGAATCCCGATCAAGAAAGGGCCGCAACTGGCGGATCTGACAGAAGGTCCCCCTGGCTACAGCTGTCAGATGTCAGATGTTCCTCCAAGGACAGCTGCGTATCCAGGAGGACTCCCAGATTGCGCGCCCTCCCTGCGGGGGCCAAAGACTCGCCCCCGATAGTCAGTGATGGAGTCAACTGACTGTATCGGGATGCCGGGAACCACAGCCACTCAGGCTTGGAAGGGTTGAGTTTGAGCCTGTTCCTCCTCATCCAGATCTGCACAGCCTCCAGGCACTGGGACATCACTTCAAGGGCATCGTTGGGGTGGCCTGGGGTGGAGATGTACAGCTGGGTGTCATCAGCGTACTGATGTTACTTCACCCCAAAGCCACGGATGATCTCACCCAGCGGCTTCACATAAATGTTGAACAGAAGGGGCGAGAGGACCGACCCCTGAGGCACTCCACAAATGAGAGGCCTCGAGGTCGACCTCTGCCCCCCTGCCAACACGAACTGCGACAGGTCTGAGAGAAAGGAGGAGAACCACTGTAACACGGTGACCCCCCCATCCCCAACTCTTCCAACCGGTGCAGCATGATACCATGGTCGATGCTATCAAAAGCCGCTGAGAGGTCTAACGGCCAGAACAGAGGAGCAACCCCTGTCCCGAGCCCTCCAGAGATCATCTACCAACACGACCAATGCCGTTTCCGTGCTGTACCCAGACCTGAAACCCGACGAACGGGACCTAGATAAGAGGTTTCCTCCAGGAATTGTGGAAACTGTCGCGCGACCACACTCTCAACAACCTTCGCCACAAAGCGAAGGTTGGAGACAAGACGATAGTTGGCTAATACTGCTGGGTCCAGGGAAGGCTTCTTGAGGAGAGGCCTCACCACCGCCTCTTTCAAGGCAGCGGGGAAGTGACCCTCACTCAACGAAGAGTTGATAATTCCCTGGAGCCAGCTTCGTGTATCCTCCCGGGAAGCCAGTACTAACCAGGAGGGACACGGGTCCAGTAAACATGTGGCCGCACTAAGTCTCCCCAAAATCCTGTCCACAACATCAGGAGTCACAGAGTCAAACTCTTCCCAGATAACGTTCTCAAGATTATTCCTCATCACCCTGCCCGAATCTACCCAGTCAGAGTCCAAATCCCCCCGGATCTGAGCGATTTTGTCATACAGATATTGTCCAAAATCCTCGGCCCTGCCTTCCAGGGGGTCCTCCCGCACTCCCGGATGGAGCAGGGAGCGGGTCACCCTAAACAGGGCGGCTGGACGATTCTCTGATGACGCAATAAGAGCGGAAAAGTAGTTACACTTTGCCGCTTTTATCGCCACTAGGTAGGTCTTAATATGCAACCTTACCAGTGTTCAGTCAGATTCAGCGAGAGTGGCCCTCCAACCACTCTCCAGGCTTCTTTTCCGGCACTTCATCTCCCTCAGTTCCTCGGTAAACCAAGGAGCCACGAGGGATCGGCACCGGGTCAGAGGCCGCAAAGGCACGACTCAATCCAAGGCCCCACCAGCTTCCCGATCCCAGGCAGCCACCAGGTCCTCAGCCGAGTCATAGGAGACTACATTTACAGCATTCAGGATTTTGTCTACTTCTTCAATACTAACAGTTCAAACTTCCCCCAGGTAATAGGCCTAGGCACTGGATTTTTCTGGGAAAAAATGCAGCAGAACAGAATAATTAGAGTTTCTAATGATGAAGAATGATGGCAATGGTTGTCCTATACACATTTTTAAAAAGTTCTTTTATGAAAAAGATTAGATGGCTTCATAGTTAATTGACCAGTTTTGCTGTTGTGTTTTGACCTTTCTCCTCCCAAACATGTATAACTTGTCTTTTCCTGTCTTTTTGGTTTGACTTATATTTTATACATTCCGATTAAACCAAAAGAAACTTCAGAATTCTATCACCTGTCACATATTTGTTGACAAAGCAAATTTATATTTAGATCTCTTCTCTTGGGAGAGGAATGTGTTCTGCCTTGCATATTACAAAAAAACTGATGATGGAACTTAAAGAAATCCTTATACAGTTTTAATATTTAGTAGTAAAGTTCATATTTTTATATGCAAAGGACATTTGATAAGTAAATTTAGCAAGTCACCTGATCATACACTGCAATCCATATTACAGCTCATATGGGTATTTACTCCCTTCCCCCCCTTTCCTCCCTTTCCTGAATTGAGAAGTTCCTCAGGCTAAGTGTACAAAGGCTTCCTTACCACTCCTGGAGGTCTAACAGGTGGTGACCAGGGGTGGGTTCTACTTACCTTTACTACCGGTTCGCAACGGGGTCGTGCACACGCACATGCTCTTCTGCGCATGCACAGAAGCATTTTTGTGACATTGGGGTCAGTGGGCAGGGCCTCCTGCCAGTTTTTTTTTTTTTTATTATTTGATTTATATGCCGCCCTTCTCCGGAGACTCAGGGCGGCTTACAGTGCGTTAAGCAATAGCCTTCATACTTTTGTATATTTTATACAAAGTCAGCTTATTGCCCCCACAAACTGGGTCCTCAATTTACCTACCTTAGAAAGGATGGAAGGCTGAGTCAACCTTGAGCCTGGCAAGATTCGAACTTACTTTAATTGCAGACGGCTGGTGTTAAATTACAGTGCTTTTGTCTGCAGAGCTATCCAGGCTCTATAGAACCGGTGCAAACCGGAGACAACCCACCACTGGTGGTGACATTATCTTTTCTTCCACATGTTGGCCTCTGGTCTCTAAGATCTAATTTTGAATGTAAATAAAAAAAGTCGCCTTTTGACTCTTTTCTTCCTCTTCCTAGAAAAGGATCACATTATGCCAGAAATTTACAAAACAGGAATGAAGAAATGGCCATCTATACTTGTACTGGACTGTATTAAGAAATTTTGCATAACCACTGAGCACTCTGATGCTGACCACTCAGAGCACAGACTTTATTTGTTTCCATCTGGCTTCAATAATGGTTCAGAAAACTGTATTAAAATGAGAAGGACAGTGTGTTCTGTGTAACTACCAATTTGAGGCCATTGGAACTGGCGTTTGGGGAGAAAGTTTATTTTTTGCATTTTAGTCATTACTGAGGTGCAATATAATACAATAATAATAATAATAATAATAATAATAATAATAATAATAATAATAATACAGACTAACTTACACAACTGAGCAACAAAGGAAACAAAAAATAGCAAATAAAGTCACATTTCACCCTACACCTGGAAATAGATTTAATGGAATGAAAGATTTCAAACTATATAGCTCCAATAGCTAGGTCTATCAGGGACAAAGTATGGCAGCTGTCCTGGGTCAAAACTCCAGAATTACTTTCAAATAGATTGGTGAGTTTTTTGGAAATTATTTGTGTCTTACTGCTGGGGAAACCAACACCATATCTCTTCGCTCTAAATATCATCAAAACTGTCAATTAGAATTATTATGTAGGAATAATTATGGCTCTGTCTCTAGGGAGCTTCCTTTCTGAAAAACAGATAGGGCTTTTTTTTTTTTTGGTAAAATGGCCAAAAGCACATAGAAAATACTAAAAATATACCGGTAGCTGGAGTACAATTAATTTTTCTCCCTTTCTGCATGGAGCAGTGAATTTTTACCACAACAAGATAGTTTAGGAGCTGGAGTATTTACTGGCAATTTTTCCTTTCTTCTGTTTAGTATTATAGCACTGTTTGATTTGTGATATTGCTAACTTGTTCTGAGGTCAACTGGAGTGAACATGTCTACATGGCCAATTTCAAAACATTTTGAAGGGTTGGGAAGTGGAAATAGTTCTCTGTAAAATGTGCCTTATCATTTCTGGGAGTGAGACAGAATTAAATAAGCCATAAGCTTCATATGTAAAAATTGTTTACAAGTGATGAGATAAATATAAGTCTTTTAAACAAAACCATTGATAGGAGTTACTTCTTGTTAAATGTGATATATACATTCATAACATGCTCTGTCAACATTTCATGAGAATGTTGAACTATATTGAAAGGTTTAACCTTGCAAGTAAAATGTTAACGTAATCAGGTGGAATAGTCAGTAAGGAACTTCTTAAGAAGATGTCTAAACCTGTAGCATTGCTTTAAATAAGTCTAAATTGTTTCCTAGCGATGACATTTTCACCACAGTTGTAATATCTTAGTTGTCACTATGACAAATGTTTCTTTGAGCAAATGACCCTTTTAAGTGAGATAATGTGAACCATAGCATGGTTGCTCTGCTATAGGTTTTGTTTTCTGAAGAAAAACTTTCTTAAGAAAGCTTGGGATACTATTGTTTTCAGCAATTTCATTTTTTAATTTTTTTTTTAATAATTGGGCTTAGTAAGATACAATAGAATAGATGATTTAAACAATTGCTTCCATAGATTTAAATATGTTTAAATATTTAAAGCAGTTAACGAATGACTGTGATATGACAAAACATGAATTTAATTGAATATTGTGTGTGCGTGTGTGTGTGTGTAGCAACTATGTAAATCACATTCTTTTATTGAAGGTATGGTTTATTTCATCGCATATTAAAGAAGATTGAAGAAAACGAAGAAGGTCTCAACAAATTCACAAAGAGTTACCAAACATTTGGAATCAACAGATTCATAGATGGAGGATTATACTGTAAAGAATGGGCTCCTGGTGCAGAAGCAGTGTTTCTCACTGGTGATTTTAGTAAGTATTTTCTAGCGCATATGAGCTTCTTTTATTGCTATAGTGTCTCTAAAATCAGTCCTAATGTAATGGGTTTGCTTTCCATTTTGTTAATAAGTCTCAATAAAACTTTAACTTAAAAACCATGAAATGTACTGGTGCCCTTACGATAGTTACCATGTTACAGTCTGAGTGGGTAGTGACATGGACTGTATATGGTTGTGTGTAAAAGTTGCAGGCCCTTCTGAAAAAAACTGAATGTTTCAATGAATTCTAGAGTGATCAAAAGCTGACTCAGCCACTAAAAACCAAACAATAATATCTGTTTGCAGAATTGAATGCATAGATGTTATTTACAGATCGAGAAAGAAGAAAATAGTATGTCAGGTGGAAAAACTTAAACTCCTTTTCAGTTAATACTTTTAATATTCCCTTTGGGACAAATAACACTTTTCAAACATTTTCTGTAGCATTCATCTTTTTTTTCATGTAAGTACTTCATGGATGGCTTGGAATGGCCTTTTCAATTCCCTGACTTGAATCACTGAAAATCTGTGGGGATATCTCAAATATTCTGTGCATGTAAGGAAGCCAATGAATCTCTGAACTGAAAGAGTTTTGCAAGGAAGAACAGGAAAAAAATAGAAGTCAGATTATAAATACTCTCAACTGGGTTGTATTTCTATTTAATTCTGTTTCACTGTAGAGGTTATGTCATCTGTTCATTAGGAATTCATTGAGACATACTGTTTGGCCAAGGTATCTAAACTTCTGTATGCAATTATATGTAATTATAAAAGTGCTTAAACTATGTATATACTAGCCATTTTTGCTTTTTTTAAAGAATCACATATATTTCACAGCATACAAACTATATGACTGGGAGTTTAAATTTGGAAAGTATGCAGCAATGGCAAAACTAATAGTATATATACATAATACAGATTTAAATATATATAAGCAAGAATAGTTCTCATACATGCAATGTATCATACAGCATTGTAAATATAACCACAATATGGCTTCTAAGGAGACTTAAATGTCTACAATATGTACAATATGGAAAATTAGCAAATGTACCAAACGTTTAGGGTCCCAATAGTTTTCCCCCTTTTTATTTATTGGTGGAGTTGCTAAATTGGTTTTTTCATATTGTTTTCCTTTTATTAACATTTATACATCATATACACACAGCTACACACTCACAAGAAAAAGAGAGAGATTTCAGTACTAAATAACTAGCTAAAGATTGAAACCTTTTATTGTGCAACAAATAAATCAACGTAATCTGCTATAGTTTCTTTATTTTTAATGTTATACTTTATGCTGTGTGATATATGTGACATAAATCAGATGCTATATGTGGCAGAGTATGGAGAAATTGAAGCATAAAGTTACTTGGCTTTTTCATATTGTACCACATATAGCAGTGATGGCTAACCTTTTTGCTGTCGCATGCCAAAAGCGGGGGAGTGGGGGGCGTGCACGCATGCCCACACTCATAATTCAATGCGCCCTGCCCCCCCACGCATGCACATGTGACCCCCTCCCCCGCTTCCCCTGCTTTTGGCATGTGATGGCACGGTGGACCTGGTAGGCCCGTTTTTCGCCCTCCCCAGGCTCCAGAGGCTTTTTTGGAGCCTGGGGAGGGCGAAAATGGCCCCCCCCCCCCTCCCCGAGGCCCTCTGGAGGCAGGAAATGGCCCATTTTCTGACTTCCGGTGGGCCCAGAAGGCCGAAAAATTATCTGGCCAGTGCGGTGCATGCATGCTGGAGCTGAGCTAGGGTAATGCTTGCATGTCCACAGATACGTTTCTGTGTGCTACCTGTGGCACGCATGCCAATAGTTTGCCATCACGGACATATAGTATAGAAACATAGTTTAATATAGAGCTAGTTTGGTATAATGATTAAGGCATCAGGCCAGAAACTGGGAAACAGTTCTAGTCTCATATTAGGCACCTTGAACCAGTCAGTCTGTCTCAACCCTAGGAAACTGGCAGACCACTTCTGAAATTTTGCCAAGAAAGCTGTAGAGACTACAGTAGTGTAGGCAGTTGCCAGGAGTCTCATATGACTTGAAAGCATCAAAAGAACAACACACTGTAATTAATCTGATAATAATATTTCTTTCTCTTTCCTGTATTTCTAATACTTTAAGTTATCTAAACAATAGAACATCAATAATCTGAACTAATACTTGTACGATATGATTATATTGAAGCAATATAATGTATTTGGATTTCCAACAATACAAAAAAAAGGATATAGATATATACAGACACATCCATTCATCTCATGATTTGATGAGATTATAGGCTTCTTAACCAAGAAATTGGGAAGCATGCCAAAAAGGGCTCTAGCTTTTGAACTACAATGTATAGTTGTATTAGGTAATGTGTACTACCTAATAAAGAGGTAGTATTGACATTATAGCTATTTGAAAAGCTATGGGTAAATTATTTTTACACAGATTCTTTCTTATTAACTAAATGAAGAATTTAGCATTCATCACTTTAATTTCTTGAAAATTATAGTGATTGTAGGAATAGTGGAATAACATGATATTCTTAAAATGTCATAGTTCCTGGAGTGGTTCCTATGATTCCTGGAGTCATAGGATTTAAACATAGGAACCTCCTTTTGACACTGATTAAGCTGTCTTTTGTCAAACAGCTAGAAGATTAATCAAACAACTTATTTTATTTATTTATGCATTTATATTTTTGACATACTAAAAGTGATTAAATCAGCTGAACTCTTTGTCTCAAATCAAAAGCTCTCTGAGTTGGGATAGCAATTGTAACTATTTTATGTAGACTCCTTGCATCTATTTTTTCTTCCCTAATGGCCAGGCTACATGATGGATGAATTACACATTCGGCAAAACTAGGGTCCAAAAGTTATCTAAAAACTGAAAGATTTTTAATTGAAGCACAAGGTCTTCAGAGAATCTCGAAGAGGCAGAATAGTGGAAAGGGTATGAAGATTTAATGTCAAAAATTCTTTATTTCCCAAATAACTATTTAGGGAATTGTGGATTGTATTATTTCATTTTTCATAATTTAACTTTTAGCTTAAAATTAAATTTAACTCTTGTTCTGCTTTGGAACTGCACTGCAAATATTAAAATAATTCCTCAAATATGCAGAAAAGTCCCAAAGTAATATGAGTTGTATAGGGAAAAAAATTGTCAATTTGTCTGTTCCTATTTTTACATACGACCTGTGCAATTTAATGAATATTAACTATTTAATTCATTTTAATTATTATTATAGATAATTGGAATTCATTTTCCCATCCATATAAGAAAATGGAGTTTGGGAAATGGGAATTGTTCATCCCACCTGGACCAGATGGGTTTCGCCCTGTATCTCATGGATCCAAACTGAAGGTGAGTGTTTCAAAAAGACACTTCATTGTTTTATCAATATTTAATTTATTGTCAAATTTCATAATTGAAGTTTTGTAGTATTCAGTTATGTACCACTTAATATTTCAGAGTGAAAATAAAACCTGCAAACAATTTTCTTCACCATAAATTACCAATGTTATTATATAATGAAAAAAATAGATTATTATAAATATAAATGATACATTTATAGCAATTCTGAATGTAAAGGATTCCTCACCAGGATCCACTCCCAGTGATTCAAGTGTTGATTTCATTGTCCTTTTGTGATGCTTGGAGGCTGTGTGGGCCTGGATGGGAAACATCAGGCTTCATCTAAATCCTAGCCTAGCAGGACCAAGTAGCTTTGGGTAAATAGAGCTTCAATATCTGGGAATTTGACATCTGGTTGGGATTACACTACCCTAGGTGAACTTGGTTCATACAGATTCTCAACTCCTGCTTGAAGAGCTGGTGACAGTCACAGTTAGGAGAGCATTGCATAGTTCAGATTGTATGCCAGTTGCAGCCTTTCCTGGATCAGGAGTCCCTGTGCTCAGACATTCAAGCCTCACCATCTTACACTTGGACTCCTGCAATGCACTCTCCATTGAGCTACCCATGATACATTCAGATGCTTCAATTGGTGCAGAGCATGGGCAGTCTTTGGGGCCCCTATAGTAGCCCATGTTACAGAGCTGTTACACAAGCTGCACTACCATATGCCAACTCCCAAATTGCTCTCCTTGAATTTTATTTTGGGCTTAGATCCTAGGACTATGTAAGATATGGTAAATGCTGACTACCTTTCTAGTCAGAACTGACAAGCAAAGCAAAACAAAATTATTGCTGGCTAACACTGGGTGAAATCTGAGATTGTGGAGATCTTAAATACACTAAAATCTCATGTATTTTCACAATTTTGTGAGAACTTTGTCTTTTTAGTATTTTTCTTTTTTAAATATGTAAAGGTTTGTAGATACTGTTCAGGAAATTTAGAGTAGTGCAATGGTCTGAAATGCTGCAGTGCTGCCCTCTTGCATGTGGAAATAATTTTTGCAAGAAGGAGGCACTGGTGAAAATTAAGCCCAACTCGGTCTGAAATGAGTTTACAATAACTTTATGGCCTATTTGTCATAGTAATATATAATTTTCCATTGTTTTTATGTCCCTTTTAGCATCTTTTTAAAAAGGTATAACTGTTTCTATAAATGCATACTAATTAAGTTAAACTTTGCTGTTGCCATCAGTGTAATTACAATCCTAATAAGAAACAAGGCAGCAAATATTAACTTAGAAAAAGATAGTGTGTCAGTGTGATAGGTAGGTAGGTAGGTAGGTAGGTAGGTAGGTAGGTAGGTAGGTAGGTAGGTTGGTAGGTAGGTAGGTAGGTAGGTAGGTAGGTAGGTAGGTAGGTAGGTTGGTTGGTTGGTAGGTAGGTAGGTAGGTAGGTAGGTAGGTAGGTAGATAGATAGATAGATAGATAGATAGATAGATAGATAGATAGATAGATAGATAGATAGATAGATAGATGATGGATGTTAGAAAGACAGATAGATAGATGATACTGTTATAGTCCAGTTAATTCTTAGATGTTGCTAAACACTAGGGACAAATTATAGGAATATTTTTGGGAAATGCAAATAATACTAAATGAGGCATAATCCTTTACCATTTTTCAAATTAATATATTGAATATAATTCAAAGTTTAATTAAAGGGAATAAGATATATTTTATAAGAATTCCGAAAAGGAAGCTAAATTGGTAACTTGCAAATGTCCTTGAAGACATTTAGGAGAAAAAGCAATAGTCAGGCTGCTTTAATGGAGGAAGAGTACTGATGATTGAGATTTGGTGGAGGGCTAAAAAATGGAGTAAGAATGGTTTGAAATGGACTATGTGGAATCCTGAGCAGGTGTGGTTTGTGCTACTATATTGATTGTTTTAAATGAGTGGAGATTGTGTAATTCCTTTATGGTAATTTTAAAAATCCAAAAGATCATAAAATTAAAAAATGGATTAAAAAAAATTGTGTATTTGTGTATATGTATGTGCATACACACACATACGTACTGTCATGTGAAAAAGAAAGTACACCATCTTTGAGTTCCATGGTTTTATGTATCAGGACATAGTAAAAACCACCTCGTCCTTAGCAGTTCTTGAAAATAGGCAAATACAACTTCAGATGAACAACAACACATGAGATATTATACCATGTCATCATTTATTTTACAAAAAGAAAGCCAAAATGGACACGCCTTGTGTGAAAAACTAAGTACATCTTATGATTCAATAGCTTGTAGAACCACCTTTAGCAGCAATAACTTGAATTTATTGTTTTCTTTATCAGTTTATAACATCATTGTAGAAGAATTTTGGCCCATTCTTCTTTACAACATTGCTTCATTTCATTGAGGTTTCTGGGCATTTGTTTATGCACAGCTCTCTTGAACCATAGAACTCAAAGAGGGTATACTTTTTTTCACATGACTATATGTATGTGTGTGTGTGTGTGTGTGTGTGTGTATGTACACACGGAGGTGGAGCAGAGGTGAAATGTAAAATTTGTTACTACCGGTTCTGTGGGCGTAGCTTGGTGGTGGGGGTAATGTGACTGGGTGGGCGTGGCCAACTGTTGTTTTTCTTAAAACTTTTCAAAGCATTTTTTCTGCAAATCCAAAAAAATGCTTTGAAAAGGCTTTGCTGATCAGGCAACACAGCTGGGATCGTCAGAGCCTTTTCAAAGCATTTTTTAAACCACCCCTTCCACTGAAGAGGTTGCCGAAAAAAATGCTTTAAAAGTCTCTCTGATGATCCCAGCTGAGTTGCCTGATCGTCAGAGAGACTTATAAAGCATTTTTTTTGGCAACCTCTTCAGTGGAAGAGGAGTTAAAAAAATGCTTTGAAAAGGCTCTGCCGATCAGGCAACATAGCTGGGATCGTCAGAGAGATTTTTAAAGCATTTTTTTCTGCAACCTCTTCCGGGGAAGAAGTGGTTAAAAAATGCTTTGAAAAGGCTCTGACGATCCCAGCTGTGTTGCCTGATCAGCAGAGCCTTTTCAAAGCATTTTTTTTAACCACCTCTTCCCCGGAAGAGGGTGCAGAAAAAAATGCTTTGAAAAGCCTCTGACGATCCCAGCTGAGCTGCGCGATCATCAAAAAGCCTCTGATGATCGTGTGGCTCAGCTGGGCATGGTGGGGGGAGCGCAGGGATTTTTGCTACCGGTTCTCCGAACCACCCGCCGCCATCGCTATTGGATCGGGCGATACGGTCCGAACCAGGAGCATTTCACCCCTGAGGTGGAGGACGTGTTGGATATGTTCACTGCCTTTGGTTGTTTGTAAAAATAATAAAGGGGTATACAAATAAAATAAAATAAAATAATAAAATAAAGTTATTGTTGGGGAAGGGAGAGAGATGCATGATGCACCCAAATCCAATACTTAATTTAGATGAGTGGCACAGCCTGGGATATTAAATTCATATCTGCACTTTTCTTTTTTGAAAATTCTTCTAAAAGTGGAAAAGGAAGAAACAGAAAAAACATTACATTGATTCCAGAATTGATAGCTTAACTTTTATTTCCAGTAATGTTTTTACCAAGGCTCTGCATTCATTATGATTTTGGTACAGGGGAAAAATTACAATACAATACAATTGTTCTCCAATGCATTTTGAGATTCATGAATGCGGCCATCTCATTAGTAAATTATGTTTACTAATTTACTAAGAATTCCATTAGAAACTCTTTGGAACCTTCAGTTTTTATACTCTTACATTTTAAGAATTATCCTTTTATTCTTACACTCTGTTTTTTAGCCTCTTATTGATATCCTCTAATCCTGTGGATGAAATCTTGTGATAACTTTCTCAAAAGATTTTGGAAAATCCAAGTATGTGATATTTACCAGCATTGTCTAAGAACTCTTAAAAGGATAGCGAGACAGGATTTGTCTTTGTAGAAGCTAGGTAGACTGTTCTTGAGCCAAACCTTTATTTTTTTATATTTTGATACTTTTATTAATAATTTCCATCAACTGACCTGAAGAGAAAATAAACTGGACAGCTTACAGTAACTTTTGTATCATTATGAGTATATTTAAAACTCTGTTCTATATTTATCACTTTATAATCCATGGTTTTGATACTGTTGTTTTATACATTTTAGATATAAATTGAGATTTTATTTGTGTAATTTGTTATGATGCCCCTCTTGGATGTAAGATGAGTATTCACATTGGTTAGTTTTTGATGCCAGATGAAAACTCAGGCTTTTTATTAGGTATAAATATCATTATAGCATTTCTGTAGCTTTGTTTGTTTTTTTGTACATTTGCTCGCTGCTCATTGCTTCTGTTGATTTATTAGATTTTGTAATGCTGATTGCTGTGAGTTATTTACTTATGAGCCATGGTGGTGCAGTGCTGCAGGCTATTTCTGTTGGCTGCCAGCTTGCTGCAGTTCTGCAGTTCGATTCTCACCAGCTCAAGGTTAACTCAGCCTTCTATCCTTCCGAGATCAGTAAAATAAGGGCTCAGATTGTTGGGGGCAATATGCTGACTGTAAATTGCTTAGAGAGGGCTATAAAGCACTGTGAAGTGGTATATAAGTCTAAGTGCTAGTGCTATTCTCTGTTCTTCTTGGATAAAGAACAGGATAAGGCTACCTTATTTAAAATCTATTACATTCATTTATTTTACTTTTATCGATGTACATTTAATCTTTCTTTCAATCATAAACTATATAAATTAATAAATAAATGATGTAAATAATGCTGTTGCCAATCATGCCTTTAATTGCTTGATTTTTTCACGTATCTAATTAAATTGCCAGCTTTAGTTATATACACACAAAATATCTCTTAATAGTAATAACCAATTATTATTAACCTCAGATTGTCTATCCATCCATCCATCCATCAACATCCAACTTGAGTATCCAAATAAAAATCCAGGACCGTTTCATTTCTGAAATTCTTATTGTTTATTGAATACATGC